CCCTCATCATGATACTTGGCTGCAGCATCCTCCAAATTCTGTTCCTCCTCGGGTGTAAGCTTATCGTCATCAGGCGGGGCCGAAGCCAGCATCGCCTGAGACTTAGCAGGAGAAAGCCGAGGAGTGCCTTCTCCTAAAGAAAAATTCTCTCGCTGGGGAAGTTTCTCCACCTCTTGTTCGGGTTCTAAAGCATCTTTGATTAAATTCCAAAAAAGAGCAAAGGCATCGACAGGTACCTTTTCTGGTCCATGGAGAGTATAATATTCTCTAAGCTGATCTCCCGCTCTATTCCATGTCTGCAAATTTACCGTACCTTCCTCAGGAAACCACGGACAACATTCCTGAACAAAATGCAGGAATCTAGCCAACCGGCTGTTGGTGACTTTAATCCCTCTTTTTCCTAGCATGCGCAATGGCACTTCAATAAAGAGTCTTCTCTCTTTAGACTCAATAGGGCCCGTGACTTCTCAACTTCTGTTCTGAACTGTCCACCCTTCGCTTACCTGCTTATCCTCTGCAGGGGGGTCTGCAGCACCCCAGGGGGAGTCCTAGCCTTCCCGAATACTCTCAATTGCTTACTTTCTTAGTTGCTTACCTTTGGGTCCCTTTGGGCGCCACTTGCCGAGGTCCAGCCCCAGCAGGTCCAGGGGTTCCCGAAGGATGAACGGCGTCGGCGAAGATGACAGACGGACACAGACAACAGCAGAGTGTTAGACTGGCCGTTTTATCGTGGCGAGCGTGGCGTTATATTTGTTAGCAAATTCCTTGTAGCGGGCGTTCTCTATGTTTCTCGGCATTACCTGTTTCTAAAAAAGTTCCTTTGTGTGATCACCCATAAAGGAACAACAGAGTTATTTTCTTGGAACATTCCCTCCTGCCCTTTCAAGGTCATCAAGCTCTCAACACCTCAAGTGGAATGTTTACAAGGACATGACTCCTTAATTGTTCCTTTGTGCCATTGGCGGTACCAGGAACAAAAGTATTCGCTTTGGTCTGGGGTGCTGGGAGGGAGCCAAGAGGGCCCTGGGGACCCACGCCTTATGTGCTCCCAGAGAGACAATGTATACTTAGGAACTAATGAACCATTCTGTACCTTAACCCCCAGGTCCGGTCATCATCTGGAATGCCTCCTGTGGGCCAAGGGGGCCTAGGGGTTGGAGTAACTTGTATCCATAGATACATTCCTTTGTTGCCGGAGTGGGGATTTCGAACCCGTTTGTCCCCCTCCTTGGCTGGGAAATATATGGGGCTGTCCTTCCTTTAGGTAGAGGAGTCTTTAGAGGGGGTGGCAAGGGCTGGATGTAGGGCCGCACATTTATTTCTTTCCTCAGTGGTTCTTTTCCCGGGGGGGCCCCGTCGTGGGCAATTCTCCAACCGGCAAATCCCCAGGTACTTTCACTGGTAGGGGGGCCTCCCCGACCAACGCTAAGGCCAAATTACATGACAGCAGGAGTACAAGAAGCTTCACTGTCGCTGGGCCACCATGTGGTCCCGATCCGTTCCCCGCCTGGGCCCTGACATCAGGCTGGTTGGATAGCTTGGCTCCCGGCATGGCGGCTCCTCTGAAAAATCAAAACAGAATTACCTAATGATCCCACAATTCCACTCTGGGGTATGTACCCCCAAAGCACTGAAAGCAGGAAATCCAAGAGATACGTGTACATCTGTGTTTATTGGCAGCATTATCCAGAAGAGCTAAAACGTGGAAGGAAACCACCTGTCCGTTGATTGATGACTGGATAAACAAAATGTGGTATATTACATCCAATGGCATATTATTCAACCTTAAAAGGAAGGAAATTCTGAACGGGCTACAGCATGGGCGAACCACAAGGACGTTATGCTAAGTGAAACAAGCCTGACACAATAAAATAAAAAATAAGCCTGTATTACTCCATTTATATGAGGTGCTTAGAGCAGTCAAAATCATAGAGACAAGGGGCGGCTGGCTGGCTCCGTTGGTTAAGCATTCGACTTTGGCTTAGGTCATGATCTCGCGGTTCGTGGGTTCAAGCCCCGGGTTGGGCTCTGTGCTGACGGCTCAGAGCCCGGAGCCTGCTTCGGATTCTGTGTCTCCCCCACCCGCTCTCTGCCTCTCCCCTGCTCGCACTCTCTCTCTGTCTCTCTCTCTCAAAAGTAAATAAACACTAAAAAAATGTTTTTTAATTAAAAAAACAATTTTACCACAATTTTTTTGAAATCACAATTTTAAACACTGAAAGAATACTTAGTTCAAGCCCCTCCCTATCCGTACGATTAATGTCGGTATCTGATGGGGCCGCCTTAGCTGCAGGTGAAAGATACGGGGCAGAGTTTTAGGGGAAGGTGTTCCCCCATGGCGTCCTGGTGACACTGCACATGTCCCCACAGGCCACGCAGGCGGAGGCTTGAACCACAGCTCCTCCAAGTCTGGGCAGGAAGCTGTGGTCGCCCGAGCCACCAGAGGGTGGGAGGACTATGGGAGCCTCAACGAGGTCATCTGTCATTCGCTCACTTTCCGACCCTGAGGCACCATGAGACTTTCTTGTCACTTTCATGCTCTGATGTGGCCCAAGGCCTCCAACCTGCCTCCTCAGGAGAGCTGCCGGATACAAAACACTCAGCCAGGGGCTGGCGCGGGCTTCTCGCCTGTCAGGCAGCCCGCAACTCACCTTGCGGCCCATTGGCCCCTTTGGTTTCGAGGTCGTCCTTTTTGGTACGAGCGACCGGGACCCCAGGAAACTGGCACCTTTCACTGATTCCCCTTCTGTCTATGTGAGTAATCACCCTTACATCTAACGGGGCTCGTTGTGTCTGTAGCAGCTACATCAGTCAGGCTTGACCTTGGCCTGGCACTGTCTCCCGGGCGAGTTTGATCGTGGCCTACGGTTTCACCTCTCACTTTAACCAAGGCTGTCTCAGAGGATTCATCACTTTTTGTCCTCCCACACACAACGGAAATGAAACCCCTGAGCCCGGAGGGGTGACGGGTCTGCAGGTCTTTGATAGATATCGACAACTGACTTACACAATTAAGATTCAGGGAACTTAGGGGTGCCTGGGTGGCTCAGTCGGTTAAGCGTCTGACTTCAGCTCAGGTCAAGATCTCTCGGCTTGTGAGTTCGAGCCCGGCGTCAGGCTCTGTGCTGACAGCTCGGAGCCTGGAGCCTGCTTCGGAGTCTGTGTCTCCCTCTCTCTCTGACTCTCCCCCGTTCATGCTCTGTCTCTCTCTGTCTCAAAAATGAATAAACATTAAAAAAAAAAAAAAAGATTCAGGGAACTTATCGGGAAGGCTTCCATTTAAATGGTCACATGAAAAGTTTATTCCCTGAAGAAATACTCTTATGTAGAAACACCTTATTTCCTGATGGAGAGCAAATAAGATGTGATTGTATCATGGCGCTGGACAAATGCCTGGAAGCTCTTCCCCAAGAATCCACTAGAAGCAGGAGTAAAGAGAGTGCATAAAATAGGCCATGAGTGTGTGTTCTGTGAACACCTGCAGCGGAGAGAGACGCGATGGGTTTCCCGGAACTTCTCCACGCTGCTGGGGCCATGGGGAAATTCCAAGTCGTCCGAACCATGTTTATACTCTTCCCTACCATCCTGGCCTCCTGTAACAACCTCCCGAAGACCTTCACAGCCATGACCCCAGAGCATCACTGCTGGCCAGCCAACTGGACCAATGGGTCCCCTGTCCAGAATGGGACAGCTTTGTGTTGACACTGTAGCTTGAAAAATAACAGCTTTGTTCTGACACTGAAGATCAAGAGATAACAGTCTTGCTTTACTCTTGTACATTACGCTTCATATTCTTGTAAATCAGGCTTCACCAACTAAAGAAACAAAAGTTCAAAGGGGATGGGGACCGGCTGAGAGTCTTCATCCCGCTGGACAAGGACCAGAAGCCTGAGTGATGCCTGAGGTCCTCCGAGCCCCCCTGGCAGATCGTAAACCTCAGCGACTCCTCCTTCTTGAGTCCGGACACCGAGCCCTGCCTGGATGGGTGGGTGTACGAGTAGAGTGTTGACTCGTCGATCGTTTCTGAGGGGAGGCAAAGCCAGAGCCAAGTGCTGAGCCTTCTGGTGATTTTTTTGGTTGGTTTGTTTTACTTTAATCAAGATATAACTTAACTCCATTAAATGCTCAAAATTTAAGTGCGCAGCTGAGTAAGTTTTACACACGTAAACACCAGATCCAGATACAGATGATTTCCGGGACCCCAGCAGTCTCCCTCGCAGCCCTCTACGTCATTACTGGATCCCCGCTATAACCGCCATTCAGACCTCTATCATCATCAGTTGGTTCTGCTTATGTTTGAATTTGACGCCAGTGGAATCGTACGGTATGTGCTCTTCCGTGTGTTGGGATTTTTTTGCACCCATTACAGGTTTTTAGGACTCATCCATGGTGATACATGCTTTGGGAGTTGGTTCTTTCTCAGTGCTGCAAAGCATTCCATTGTACGAATGTACCACAGTGTATATATCCATTCTCCTCCTGAAATACGTCTGTGCTGTCTCCAGGTTGGGGCTATTATGAACATCATGGTCATGAACATTCTTGTACAAGTATTTGGGTGGCTGTGTCTACCATTTGTGCTGGGTGTATGCCCAGGGGTGGGCGTGTAGGATCACAGAGTGGCCCCAGATTCTGCCAAACAGTTTTCCAAGTGTGTAAGACGTTCAGACGTGTCTGATTGCCTCATCTCCTTTCCCACACCTGGTCCAACTGTAAGGGTTAAATTGTAGTGTAGGGCTAATGTGTAGCTTGAGAGATAACAGCTTTGTGTTGACACTGTAGCTTGAAAAATAACAGCTTTGTTCTGACACTGAAGGTCAGGAGATAACAGTCTTGCTTTACTCTTGTACACTACGCTTCATACTCTTGTAAATCAGGCTTCACCAACTAAGGAAACAAAAGTTCAAAGAAAAGAGCATCAGAGGCAAGGTCAAGGAGATCCACTGGTTGCAACTTAGCGGCAGAAAGTCTAAAATAATCACCTCATTCAGCAACTGTTTCTAACTCATCTGGGAACTGTTTCTCTGTTCTGTTCCCAGGTGATGATAAAACGATGTGATCGGCCATAAAAACTCTGTACCCTGGCTGTTCGAGGCCACACTCTGATCAAGAGTGTTGGTCCCGATCGGTCGGCCTTGCCTCTCATTGCAATAAACTTTGTTGTGACTGTCACTGGTGCCCATAGCATTCTGTTTCAGGAGTCGTGTGGATGCAACATTCAGTGCATTGGCCGGGAAAGTGAAAGGTCTGAAACAGGGCCCTTTCCTCGGACTGCTCCGCCGACCCCTGGGAGGAGGCTTGGGATTGGGAGAGGTAAGGAATTCTTGGAGCACGCCATTTGAATGACTCAGGAGGGTCTGCTGGACGCGGCTATAGACCCAGAGTCAGGGATCCTACCGGGACGCCGGTGGGCCCCATTTGGTTTGGTTTTTGTCAAGAGGGATCCTATTTTCAGGTGGCTGCCACGGCCTACTGGCCTTGAGATCTCGAACTTGTGTTTTCTTCGTGTCTTAATTGTCTTCTTCCTGTTGACTGTCTGTGCGTCCTTGTCAGTTCTGCCTATCTTTGTCATGGGTCAAAATCAGAGCACCCCCACCCCTCTGAGTCTCATACTAACCCATTTCCAGGACTATAAAAAAGCTGCCTCAGTGTTTGGCCTCCACGTTAAGAAGCCAGTCCTTCGAACTCTCTGCGAGGTGGAATGGACCAGCTTTCAGGTCGAATGGCCTCCACAGGGGACCTTTGACCTTACTTTGGTATATAAGGTTCATGATATTGTGTTTTCTAGGCACGAAGACCAAATCCCATACATTGGAGTGTGGAGAACCCTCATTGAAAACCCTCCAGATTGGTTAAAACTTCTCCTTCCCCTTCGCCCTCGCCTCCCTAAAGTACAGGCTTTGCTGCTCAAAGGCCGCCCATTTGGAGCTCAGAATAAGAATCTTGATGGGACTAAGCAGCCACCCCCTCTATCATCTGCACCGGAGGAAGAAAAAGAAACTTAACCACTCGCCGCCCTATAGTTCTCGCCCAAAGAATATGGGTCAAGATGCTTCAGATCAGGAGGCAAGCCCGAGTCGGGACACTCCCCTGAGCCCGTCTCACACCTGGTCAGGGACTCCCTTCCATCCCCCTCCCGCTGCCCGACCCCTTCGTCCAAGGCCACCCCTGCAGGGTGATGTCCGACCCTTTATGACTTATGTACCCTTCTCCACTAGCGACCTTTACAATTGGAAGCTTCGAAACCCCTCGTTCTCAGAGAAACCCCAAGCATTAATTTCTCTCCTTGAAACTATATTTGTGACCCATCAGCCAACCTGGGATGACTGCCAGCAGCTGTTGCAAGTTCTCTTCACCACTGAGGAGCGAGATAAGATCCGTCACGAGGCTCAGAAATTAGTGATGGGACCAAACGGGCAACCCACTGAGGATCCCGCTGTAGTCGAGGAAGTCTTTTCCTGAAAATTGGGACCCAAACACTCCTCACGGTAGGCGATCATTGACCCTATTTCACCAGACTCTACTGGGAGGTCTCCGAGCGGCCGCCTGCCGGCCCACAAACATGTCTAAGGTAACAGAAGTCATTCAGGGGACCGAGGAAAGCCCCTCGGTCTTCTTAGAAAGGCTCATGGAGGCGTACCGCACCATTACCCCTGTAGGCCCTGAGGCACCTGAAAACAGAAGGGCATTAAATCTGGCCTTTGTCTCACAGGCAGCCCCAGACATTCGGAAAAAGTTATAAAACTTTGATGGGTTGAAAGGAAAAAATTTATCTGAGTTAGTTGAAATAGCCCAAAACCTTTTTAACAGTAGGGATTCTCAGGAAGAAAGACAGACACAAAAATTGACTAGGGTGGTAACGCCCGTCCTGGATGCCCGAGAGGGAAGAGGACCCCAAACGCCCAAAGAATTCTGGTCTGGGCAAAAGAAAAAAGACAGACAAAGGGTTAGAGCGCCACTAGGAAAAAACCAATGTGCATATTGCAAACAAGAGGGACACTGGAAGAAGGATTGCCCCAACTTAGCCCAACGCAAAACTCGGCCACCCCTGGCGTCGATAATGAAAGTTGATTCCGACTGACGGGACCACGGCTCAGTGGCCCCTTCTGAGCCTTTGGTTACTGTTAATATAGGGGGCCAGCCTAAGACTTTCTTGGTGGACATTGGGGCAGCCTTTTCAGCTCTAAAACAAGATCCTGGTCCCACCAGGCGAGGAGCAACGCTGGTGCAAGGAGCGACTGGGTCCCAGACTTGTAAATGGACCACTGAACGACAAGTAGATTTCGGCCGTAAAACTATCACACGTTCTTTCCCAATCATGCCTGAATGCCCCTGCCCTGGATTACTAGGTAGAGACCTACTACATTAACCAACGGCTTCTTTGAAATTCACTAAAGGGGTTACGCATATTAAAGTCAGCCAGGATGGCCCGACAACCGTAATGGTGACTGTGCCACTTGGGGGAGAGGACCTGCTCGCTCTGGTGCCTAATGAAAGTGTCCATGCAGTCGATCCCCTCCTCAAAAGCCTCCAGGCGGGCTTCCCCCAGGTATGAGCTGAGACCAATCCACCCGGGGCTGGCGATTCATCAAGCTCCGATAATAGTGGAACTTAAGGCATCCGTGCTTCGGGTAAGACTAATATCCCACGTCCCGGGAGGCTAGGCGGGGAATCGCCGTTCACATCAAGTGTTTGCGCGACTCCGGCATTTTGATCCCATGCAAGTCGCCATGGAACATTCCGCTTCTCCCTGTCCGGAAGCCTAACTCATCCGATTTCCGGCCAGTTCAGGACCTAAGAGCAGTAAACGCCAGGGTAATGGACATTCATCCCACTGTACCCAACCCTCATACTCTCTTAGTTTGCTTCCCCCTTCTCAGGTGTATTATATACAGTTCTGGACTTAAAAGATGCCTTCTTTGCCATCCCGCTGGCCCCACAAAGCCAGCCACTATTTGCATTTGGATGGACTGATCCTGAAGAGGGAAAAGCCGGACAGCTCACCTGGACGCGACTCCCCCAGGGATTTAAAAATTCTACTCTTTTTAATGAGGCCCTGCACCAGGATTTAGAGCCATTTCGAATCTCCAACCCGCAGGTAACTCTATTGCAATATGTTGATGAGATCTTGTTGGCTGCCCCCTCTCATTTAGGATGCCTGAAGTGCCACCGAAGGACTCTTGAGTCTTCTGCGAAAACTGGGGTACCGAGTGTCACCCAGAAAAGCGCAGATCTGTCGTGCTGCGGTGACCTATTTAGGTGACAACCTTAAATAAGGTAAGCGCTATCTCGGTGAACAAAGAATTCGGGCTATACTCGATATTCCTCAGCCTAGAACTTGCAAACAAGTCCGCGAGTTCCTTGGGGCGGCAGGCCACTGCAGACTATGGATACCTGGCTTTGCTGAACAGGCAGCCCCTTTGTATGCCGCTCTCAAGGGGCCTCCGGAGTCCTTCACATGGGGGGAGACTCAAACTAAAGCCTTCCAGGCCTTACGAGATGCTCTCACGACCCCACCGGCCTGGGCCCTGCCAGATCCCACCAAGCCATTCCATTTGTTTGTAGCCGAAAAAGGGGGGGGGGGTAGCCAAAGGAGTTCTGACTCAGCGCCTGGGAACTTGGCACCAACCGGTGGCCTATTTATCCAAACAGCTGGACCCAGTTGCTTCCGGGTGGCCCCCACGCATTCGACAAATTGCTGCCACCGCGCTCCTAGTTAAAGCCGCAAACTAACCTTGGGGCAGGCATTGTCTGTCACGGGGCCCCATGAAGTGGAGGCTTTACTGAGGGCTCCCCCAGAGCGATGGCTGTCAAATGCTCGGATTACCCAATATCAAGCATTGCTACTCGACCGGCCCCGAATACGTCTTTGTGCCCCCGCGGCCTTAAACCCAGCCACCTTGCTGCCCAAAGGACAAGGTCCCCCTCTGCACTCTTGCCCAGAAACCTTGGCGATGATCTCGTCCCTCCGCTCCGATCTTACGGACGTTCCCTTACAGGACCCTGATATCAACAGGACCCTGATATCAGCATGTTTTCAGGAGGCAGTGGTTGTGTGTTTCAAGGGCAAAGGCGTGCCTGCGCTGCAGCGATGACAGACCGCGAGGTTCTATGGCAACAGACCCTTCCCCCCGGGGAACTTCAGCCCAGCGCGCAGAGCTCATCGCGCTAACAAAAGCCCTAAAACTCGAAAGAAACAAGGCAGTTAATATTTATACGGACCGCCGCTATGCTTTTGCCCCCACCCATGTGCACGGATCCATTTATCAAGAGCGCAGCCTCCTCACGACGGAAGGCAAGGCCGTCAAAAACAAAGCTAAAATTTTAGACCTTCTGGCAACCGTCTGGGAACCTGCAAAACTGGCGATCATTCGATCATTCACTGCCGGGGACATCAAAAAGGCGACTCCCTAGAGGCAGTCGGAAACCGCCTGGCTGATGCAGCAGCCCGAGAAGCTGCCCTAACTAAAAGTGAAAGTGCCTTGCAGCTACCGATCTAGCCCAGTTGCACTCCTAAAGATTTGGAGTGGGTTTCCAGAAAAGGGGGGAAGGAAGATGCCGGGACAAAAGTGGTTTCAGGATCCTGAAGGTAAGATACTCCTACCCGCGGCACTCGGGCGGCGCATGGTGGGTCAGCTCCACCAAGGGACTCATCTGGGGAAAACGAGGATGGCGCTTAGTGCGGAAAAAGTTCAGGGCGCAAGGGCTGGGAGAAGAGATTGAAGAGGTGGTTGAAAGATGTGTACGTTGTGCCCAAGTAAATCAGGGTGCAAATAAGAAGCTTTCGGAAGCTAAAAGAGATAGAGGAACTGAGCCAGGCCGGTTGGGGGAAGTAGATTTCACTGAAATTAAACCAGGGGAATACGGATACAAATCCCTGCTTGTTTTTGTAGACACCTTCTCCGGGTGGGTCGAGCCTTTCGTCACTAAATCAGAAACGGCTCAGGCGACAGTTAAGAAATTATTAAATGAGATAATTCCTGGATTCTGGCTGCCTCTGAGCATAGGATCGGACAATGGCCCGGCCTTCAAGGCGCAGGTATCCCGGGGTCTAGCCCGGGCATTGGGAGTAGATTGGAAATTACATTGTGCATATAGACCCCGTAGCTCGGGTCAGGTGGAAAGGATAAATCGGACCCTAAAAGAGACCTTAACCAAATTGTCCCTTGAGACGGGCAAAAATTGGGTCGATGTCCTGCCTCTTGCCCTTTTGCGAGTGTGTTTTACTCCATTTGTCAAGGGATTTTCCCCTTATGAAATTTTATTTGGCAGACCTCCACCTATCCTGCCGAGGCTAGGAGACAACAACATAATGGAACAGTTGGAACAGGACCAGTTGCTGGCTTCACTCGTGGCCCTGCAACATGTACAGAAGGAAATAACCAGGCCCTTGAGAGAAGCCTTCACTCATCCTCCTGTTCTTCCCCACCCCCTTCAACCAGGAGACTTAGTCTGGGTCAAGAGGCACGAGCCTAAAACCCTGGAGCCACGCCGGAAAGGACTGCACACTGTGATCCTGACTACACCCGTGGCTGTGAAGATAGACAGTGTCCGAACCTGGATTCATCATTCTCAGGTCAAGAAAAACTGTGTGAAGGTGGGAACACCCCAGACTGATACGGAACCAGATAACGAACACAATGGAAAGTCCGAAGGCACCCAGAGGATCCTTTAAAGCTAAGACTCATGCAGGCATAATAATAATAATTGTCTGGGTTTGTATAATGGTAAGCGTGGAGGACTGTACAGAATTGCATCCCCTATCTTTTTGGCCATACCAAGGGGAACTCAGGGACACTGTCACAGGGTAGGTGATAGCATCTAATACCTCTTCCTTGTGCCTTGTTTTTTGTTTGATTTATGCGACTTGGTGGGGGACTCATGGGGGACTTTAATTACTAATTATAAACAGCCAACGGGCTTTGCTCCTCTGGTCCCCAAAAACCCCTATATGGTTACGTATGGATGTGGACACAGGGATCAAGAACAAAAATTGGCTGACATACCAGGGTTATACAGTTGCCCTGCAAATAGAAACGTCGAATGCGAAGGAAAAGGCCAATACCATTGTGCAAAATGGGGTTATGAAACGCTGGCTCCCTGGCTGGCGGGACAGGGCCATGACCCTTCTTAACCACCCTCCTTAGAACTCCAGATCCCAAATGTAAGACCCAAGGAAAATGCAACCCAACAAAAATATGTTTAAAAAAGGTTTCTAGTTCCCGTACCTTTTCCTCTTCCTGGGACACTGGATACGCTTGGGGTCTCAGGATGTCCGCTCCAAGAGTTGACAAAGGCATTTCCTTTACTATACAAAGGGTTAAAAAAAAAAAAAAAACTCCATTCAATCCGGTAGAGCCAAACAAGGACATGATTTTACACCCCCCGCTCTTTCCGACCGTCCCTTCCCAACCTACCCTGCGATCGGATGCCCCCACAAAGTCAGAATTACCAACTACAGGTCATATCCAGAACCCATTCTCCCCTGAGACGCATTGGCTAAATGTAGTAGATTCTCTGTATGCTTGGCTAAATTCATCTCACACGGAGATTGTACAAGACTGTTGGCTGTGTTTAAACCCTAACCCCCATATTATGTGGGAATGGCTACAAATGCCAGCATTAGACAAGACATAGAAAAGCATGTCATAAAATTGCTAAATCCAAGCTGACCTCTTGGTGGATAACACGGGCCACGGTACCGTCATCACCCTGTCTTAGGGTTGTTTCTACAACACAGCCTAACAGCATAATCAGGAAAGGATGAGGGGCTCCTGGGTGGCTCAGTCAGTTAAGCGGCTGACTCTTGGTTTCCACTCAGGTCATGATCTCCCTGGTTTCGTGAGTTCAAGTCCCGTGTTGGGCTCTGCGCTGGCAGCATGGAGCCTGCTTGGGATTCTCTATCTCCCTCTCTCTCTGCCCCTCCCCCACTCTCCCTATGCCTCTATCTCTCTCAAAAACAACCATTAAAAACATTATTTAGGGGCGCCTGGGTGGCTTAGTCGGTTAAGCGTCCAACTTCGGCTCGGGTCGTGATCTCGCAGTCCGTGAGTTCGAGCCCCACGTCGGGCTCTGTGCTGACAGCTCAGAGCCTGGAGCCTGTTTTGGATTCTGTGTCTCCCTCTCTCTGACCCTCCCCCGTTCACGCTCTGTCTCTGTCTGTCTCAAAAATAAATAAAGGGTAAAAAAAGTTTTTTAGTTATTTAAAAAATAAAAACAAATAAATAAATAAACTTTAAAAATAAATAAATAAGACAAAATTCAGTCCCTCGGTTTCACTAGCCACAATCCAAGTGCTTAGTAGCCATATGTGCCTACTGTATAGGAGAGCACAGATCTAGAACATTTCTGCCATTGCACTCTTCCAGATACATCCTCTCCAGCTGTCTTCAAGCACGCCATGGGTTTTGGAGTCCAATGGCTCAAGAAGCCCGGGGCATCCAGTCTCCTTCATCTTCAAGGGGGCACCTTTCCTAATGGGTGCTGATTACTTTTAATGAACAAGGTAATGAATGTTTGAAGAATATGACTTTTCTGGGTCATTTCCTACTCCTTCTAGATGGAAATTTCCAGAGCAGTTCTGCGCAAGAGAAGATAACAAAAGAAAATACCCTCGAAAATATCTTAAATAGTGCTACCGTTGTTATTGGCTCCCGGGTCCCAGGACCATTTCTCTCGTTAGCAAGCCCTCGCTCAAGGGCAACCCGAGGTCCGTTGTCGTATAATCCTAGACGGGTCTCCTGGTTCCCCAGCCAGGGCTGTTGCCAGCCTAACCACCTGCCTCTCATAGACCAGCAGCAGCTGGTCTCAGAAGGATTTAGTAAGGGTTACAATGATGAAGTTTTTTGGGGGGTGGTCGGTTCATGGGGTCCAGAGCTGATGTCCAAGAAAGAATTCTTGAAGACGTCTTTGGTACAAAAAGGTGGTTTTATTCAAGCACGGGGACAGGACCCATGGGCAGGAAGAGCTGACAGGTAACTAATTATATACCCTCAGGTTGGGAGGTGGTCAGGGATCGAGTAAGTCTCCGAGGTATTTTGGAAGCAAGGTTTAGGGGCTAGCTGTTGCTAGGGAAACACCACTTATTACTGGTTAATAAAACCCCAGTCATGAGACTCTTCAGATGTATATCAGGGCCATAACCTCGGGGGTATGATTGCCTGCACGTATCTTGGGGCAGTGGAGATAAAGGAAGTAAACTTACAGGGTCCTTGAGGTTGGGATAATGTTGAGCTAAGGTTCTCTTTTGCCCCCAGCAAAGTGTCATCCTTGTGGCAGCTGAGCTCCTAGAGGGAGGTCACTCTGCCGGTTTCAAGGACTTGTCAGGGGGCTGCCGGCAGTAAGGGAATTTAGTTTTTCATTTGCCTTAGTTTCCCATATTACCGTGGTAAGCACGTAAACACCTCCCCTTTGTTCTTGGGTAGCCGGGAGTGTCCGAGGAATATCACCCATATTCCGCCTGGGGGTTGGGTAGGGGGCTGCTAGCTTGTGCTTTGCCCCTTAGCTTGCCCCACGCTCCCTCATCAATAATGTAGATCCATTCAGATGGGGCTCCTGGATGGCTCCGTCCATTAAGTGTCCGACTTCGGCTCAGGTCAGGTTCTTGCGGTTCGTGAGTTCGAGCCCCATGTCGGGCTCGGTGCTGACAGCTCAGAGCCTGGAGCCTGCTTCAGATTGTGTGTGTGTGTGTGTGTGTGTGTGTGTGTGTGTGTGTCTGACCCTCTCCTGCTCACACTCTGCCTCAAAAATAAATAAATAAATAAACATAAAAAATTACAAAATCGTACTATAGATCCATTGAGGGGAAATGCAGCAGCTGAGAGGCCCAAGTCAAGAGAAGGGCGACCAACAGCATGGTCCTGGCCCAGCGCTGGCTTCATGCAAAGGGACGCTATGACTTTAGCTGCGAATGACTGAACACAGCCACCCTGAAGGATGTGCAACCTGTCCCCACACTCGGGAGGGTCCCACATTTGGTTTAATGCTCTGCTGCCACATCTGGGAATTCTCTTTTTTTTTTTTTTTTTTTTTAAGTTTATTTATTTATTTTGAGAGAGAAAGAGCACGAGCGAGCCAGGGAGGGGCAGAGAGAGAAGGGGAGAGAGAATCTTCACCAGGCTCTGTACTGTCAGCGCAGAGCCGGACGCAGGGCTCAAACTCACGCACCGCGAGACCATGACCTGAGCTGAAACCAAGAGTTGGACGCTCAACCGACTGAGCCACCCAGGCGGCCCGCCATCTTGAAATTCTTAATCATTTTGGAACAAGGAGCCCTGGGCCCTTCAACTCATGCGGCTGGCCCCATCTGCAGAAAGTCGAGTCTTTTCCGTGGGAGGCGTTAGTCTGTGAGCAAGAGCCAGAACTGGTAAGAGAAGAGACATGGGGAGAGACTGGATGGGGCGCTGAGGGAAGAGCTGGCCCACAGGCTCTGTCTCTCTCTCTCCTTCAAAAATAAACATTGGAAAAAAACTTTTTTTTCGTTAAAATAAAAGAGAACAAAGAGAAGAGATGGGGTACAGGGGGGCTTCCAGCCACAGAGAACACGAGGAACAGGGGCTGACTGCCCATATGGGGCCCACGGCGAAGGCATGATGAGTGGGAACGGGCCCAACCCCCGGCCACAGGAAGGGCGCTCTCTGCTCCAGGCACGTGGGCAACATTTCTCTCCTCTGCTGGCCTCAGCTTTGCCAGTTAAGGGGATTTGCTTTTTCTCACCCTCCCAACCCCAGTCAATATGCCTGTGGTGGAATGAACTTTTATGTGTCACCTTCCTACGCCCACTGCTGCAGGTACGACCGTCCTGCTACTCAGCCTCTCCTGCCACATACGCTCTCCACGCCGGCAGATGTGACATCACTAAGATGAGTAAAGACAGGGAGACTTGGTCTGCATGTTAACACATCCTGATCAGGTCCTCCCCGACACAAGAAAGAAAGAAAGAAAGAAAGAAAGAAAGAAAGAAAGAAAGAAAAAAGGAAGGAAGGAAGGAAGGAAGGAAGGAAGGAAGGAAGGAAGGAAGGAAAAAGAAAAAGGCTGATTTGTCTTAGAACTGCTTAACACAAAGTATCTGAAGGACCTACGAATTCCTCCACTTAAGGTACAAGCTGTCAAGGGGGCGCCTGGGTGGCCCAGTCAGTTAAGTGTTCCACTTCGGCTCAGGTCGTGGTCTCACAGTTCGTGGGTTCGAGCCCCGCGTCGGGCTGTGTGCCGACAGCTCGGAGCCTGGAGCCTGCTTCGGATTCTATCTCTCTCTCTCTCAAAAATAAATAAACGTTAAAAAAAAAAAAAAAAAAGAGGGGCGCCTGGGTGGCGCAGTCGGTTAAGCGTCCGACTTCAGCCAGGTCACGATCTCGCGGTCCGTGAGTTCGAGCCCCGCGTCAGGCTCTGGGCTGATGGCTCGGAGCCTGGAGCCTGCTTCCGATTCTGTGTCTCCGTCTCTCTCTGCCCCTCCCCCGTTCATGCTCTGTCTCTGTCTGTACCAAAAATTAAAAAAAAAAAAAAAAAAAAAAAGATACAAGCTGTCAAGAATCTGTTATTGCCCTTCCAAGACACGGGCAGTGGCAGAGACGCAAACAAAACGAAAGAGAATTGAAGGTGAGAGGGAGAGAGAACTTGCAAAGGTCTCCAAAGTAGCAACTGGAGGAACTTCTTGGAAGGACGGGACTCCAGTGGAAGTGTGCATGGTCTGGGGACCCGCAGAGCCGCCTCAGGGGTTCCCGGGGGTTCAGGCGTTTAAGGGGTAAAAGCTTGCTTGCCGCAGAAATGTGACTCTTCAGAGAAACTCTGATAACATATAACAAAGGTTTCTGTGTTGTAAGTTGGTTTTACCAGAACGTGGACAGTTTATTCTCTTCCCCAGCTTTCGCTTAACTTCATGTAAACCGGTAAAAACTAAGAATTGACAAGACTCCTTTAATGTCCATTTGAACCAAAATTTTTTTTTGTTTTAATATTTAAAACAATTATTTTAATGTTTATTTTTGAGACAGAGAGAGCCAGAGCGTGGGGGGGGGGGGAGGGGCAGAGAGAGAGAGAGAGGGGGAGACACAGAATCCGAAGCAGGCTCCGGGCTCCGAGCTGTCGGCACACAGCCCGACGCGGGGCTCGAACTCACAAACCTCGAGATCAGTGACCGTGACCCGAACCGAAGTCGGACGCTTAACCGACTGAGCCAGCCAGGCGGCCCTGAAGCAAAATTTTCAGCAAACTTGCAATGATCATTCTTCATTCAGCGCGCCAAACAGGATAACCATTACTTCTCGGCAAGCCAGGCAACATATTTTTGATGTTTAAAAAGTGACCGAGTGACATCAGAACATAAAGAGAGACTTAAATCTTACACACAGAAGTGGAAATAGCTAAATGTCAGCTTTTATCTGAAAAG